TGTGAAGGAAATTAAAAATACTCCTAAAAGAGGCAGTAAAATCTCACCAAAGGGTGATGGAGTTAAAATCTTGACTCGGTCGATGTGGACGAGCCAGGGAGGAAGAAGATTTTGAGGAAGGTTCAGGTAAGGGAAATATGACAGTTTCGATATTGAAATTTCTTTATTCTTGGGTTTGGGAGAAAGAGTTTCTTTCAAGGATCTTAACTCTCGAACCCATTTAGGATTATTTAAAGGTTTGACGAGTCCAAAAGGAGCTGAAGGGAAAGTGGGAAGATGGTTGAGACAATACATTTCAAATGGGGTTTTGCCTCGAGGATTGATTATTTTGTGGTTTGATCGGTTAGTGTCTGTTTTATTGACTAGGGAAATAACAACATCATAAAAGGTCTCTTCTAATTTCAAGGGGTTGTAGCATGCTCAATAAAAATTTTTTAATCGAGATATTTGGAGATAGTGAGAATATGTACCTTTCTTCGCCTTTGATTTGTCCTGTAACACGAGAGAAGGACGAGCAGTCAATTTTGATTGGACTATGTCAAAATTAGAATGAATATTTGAAAAACAGTCGGTCCACCACTGAGAAAAACCAAGAGTAGATAAATAGTTCGATTCAAAAGTATAAGGGTAAAAATGCATCGGGTTTTTTGGCAACAGTTTGGTAAGCTCTCGTCCAACTGTTGATTCACTTAATTTGGACCTTGAGGAGGTATCGAGGGGGAAAAAGGGTAAAGTTTGACTCAAACCAAACTGTCGCGAGAAGAGTTGGGGATAATAAGTGACGAGTTGAAGATCCTTCGATTGGAAACCCGATACCAGAACATCTTGGGTTAGGTAATTGCTCCACACTTCGACCAATTCTGATTGTAACCCGGGGGTAAGAGCAGGGAATTTTGACTTAAACCATGCCGACCCTCAAAGCTTGTCACTTACTTTCCCTTGATATACGGTGAAGGGGGCCAAGTTTGACTCAAAATGAAATCGAGTCAACAAAAATCTTAGGTAATTGCGATAACTAGTCTCTTCGGATTTGTGGCGAGGGTGTCGAGAGGACAATCGAGCACCTTCCAAATTTAAATTTGGGGGAATGTTGGAGGTTGGAGGGAGGATACTTTCAAAAATTGAGGTAAGCCATAATTGAATAAACCAAATGGGACCTGAAAATTTCCCTGAGGCCCTGGGGGTATTCAAAATATCGACGACTTCATCAAAAGAAGTATAAACATTGGCCAATAACAACTTTGCTAAACAAATCCGTGGTTGGCCAGTGTGGAGGAGATAGGCAAGATTATAAAGGTGGGACGAGATCTGGATGGATCGAGGGCAAAAGACGTGGGTGCAAAGCCAATATACCAGGAAAGCCACATGCTCTTCATCAGAAACAACTACTGTTTGATCATCGACAAAATGTTTTTCGAGAAAATGTCCATATGCCTTCGATTCCCAATCAATTTTTGACCTTAAAGAATTATCCAAAGGGAAAGCACCCTTATAGTATTTCTCCCCTGTGGGCTTTAATCCAGTAATTGCAGCAATTTCAAAAAGGGTGGGTGAAAGGGGACCACAAGGAAGTTCCAATGCATGTAAATCCTTATTCCACAGATGGACGGCAGATAAAAACATGGTCATATCTAAAAACGACAGATCACATCGAGACAAATGTAGGAAATCGAAGATCCATACATCTCTCCAATGGTTCCCAAACTTAGTTTTAACTCGGTCAAACCACCTAATGTACAAGGGTTTTTTGTGGGGAGAGCCTGTTCGATATACTTTGGAGACAATATTCAGAAAATCAATTTGAACCTCGGACTGATGAATAAGAGTCTTACTCTCTGAAGAAAGGCTGAGGGAAGAAGAAAACGATCCGCCACAGTAGCGGATAGGACCACCAAACGCATAATTTACACTATCAGCGACATAAGGGATAAGCACCTGGGTCTCGGCAATCCTTTGTGAGGCTTCTTCCATCAAAGGAACCGGAGCAAACTTCTTCCCATTAATCTCTATTAGGTTGGAGGTCACCAAGGAAAGTGGTGGGGCGGAGAAATCAGAGAATTTGGAGGTCGCCATTACAGTCGGTAGAGAAGAGGAAGACGAAAGGTTGAAGACAAGGAAGTGCAACGAAGGAGAAGTGAGGTTCGTGGTAAAAAATAAGGGTAAAAATTTGATAAAAGTATTTAAAGAAGCCGAGTAGGGTATTTGAAACGGCGAATTTAAAGTAGGTAATTAAAAGCATGGCAGCAGAGGTGATGTGATATGTGACATAAAATAGAAAGAAACCCTAAAAACCCCAGAAACCCTAAAACCCCGGAAACCCTAAACCCTAAGGAGTTATTTCGAGTTTCAAGAACGATTAAGGGCGGGAGTCATATTCTGGAAGAATATAAAAAATTGATACAAATACTTATATTCTTCCAGGGGGGCATTTGTTAGTAAAGAAAAATCGATACCAGGATCGATAAACAAGAAAGAGGAATATCGAAGATCATATGGTTGGTTGAAAAATTGATAAGAGACAGGCAGAAGACACCTGGTAACCATAAGATAAAAACACATATAAATCGAGAATCGAAGGAAGAATATTCGATGTCTATTGTTGAAGAGAATCGAGAAATTAAAATCTAGTGTACTGTTAAGATTAAAGGGAATCAAAAGCAATTCAAAGTACTCGATGTCTGAAATCGAGATCGAGGGAACGGTTAACGCGCACATAGAACATGGGAAGCGGTTTCTAAACCGTGGCAGAGATCGAAGATCAAGGGAGCAGTTATCTCATGCATGGGAACGTGAAATGCAGTTTTCTAAACCGTAGAACTAAGGGACGTGCATGTTGGATCGTGGTGGCAGTTTTGTTAACTGCTCTTAGGAGGTTACTTGAAAGGTGCTCTATAAATAGAGCGAAGACTTGAGGGAAAAAGGGGGGGGCAGAGACAACAGAAGCGCAAGTGAACAGTTTACAGGAGAACGACGCATCATGAAGTTTCTAATGCTCTGAATTTTCGTTTTCATTGATTATCTTTATCGCTTTCTCTACTTTCCCTGGTAATTTACTTTCATTGTAATTTACGTTTGTCAAACTTTAAGTTTTGTCCTTTCGATTCCTTGTCATTTACTTTTATGCAAAATTTACTTTTATGCAAGTTAAGGTTATGCGTTTAAGATCCTCGCCATTTACATTTCTGCAATTTTGATTTCCTGCTATTTACATTTCCGCAATTTCGATTCCTTGTCATTTACACTTAATGCAAATTTGAGGTTTTCTGCATTTTACATTTCTCTGCAATTTGATATTTTGCACTGCTTTTCGATTCAACACCTTTACTGTTTTCTTTACTTCGATGTTTCCTAATAAAAAAAGAAATACAAAAAAAAATAGTACTTTCGGTTGCCAATCCACATACTAGGTCACATCGTTAGTGTTTCTCGATACTATGGGATTTTCGATTCTCATACACATTTCGATTGAAAATCAGTTGCTAGCCTAAGTAAAAAGAATCTACGTGGTCGAAAATTTGATCAGAACCTTTAATCGAAATCGATCAAATTTTCACCAGAAACACAAGGTTACTTCTTTCTACACCCCAATAATTTCTTCTACAATCCTACTACAATTCTATAATATATGTAAAATGTGAAAAATATTCTTGAGGAGTTTTTCTCTTTAGTTCCACACCTTTATACCAGTTTCTGCACCTTCAACTTTTGCAGCTCTTACGTCTTCGTTCAAACATCATTTTCATTTTAATGTTAAAATTTTATTAGTGATTTATATTTTGAATGGTATAAATCTCGTAAAAAAATATTTGATTTGTACCTGAGGCGTTATTCGAAATATATTTCTTGAAAATATAATTTAGAAACAAGTTCGAGATAGGTTAATCTTAAATTCATTTATAGATAAATATTCTGATCTGTGGATTGTGTATTTAAAAAATATATTCTAGAAAACATAATTCAAACATAAATTTGGATGGTTGAATCCATATTACAATTTTTTTAAAATACAATCTAGAAATGAGTAGAAGAAAATACAACTCATAACTTACTTTTGGATTATGTTTTATAAAAATATATTACAAACTTCTTTTGAAAAAATTTTAGAAACATTTTAGAATTAGACTTCTAGAGTATATTTTTGGAAAGTTAATTTTGAAAAGTTTTTAAAATATGTGATACATGAAAAAAAAAAGTATGAGAGTGTAGGAAGAAATAACTGAAAACAAATAATTGAATTAATACTCGGTCCAATATACTCAACAATTTTTTTTTTAAATGAATTCTTAATCAAGTTGACCGGGTACTAAAGTAAGTTCAAGTTTTTCTTGCTTTAAAAAGTCGAAGTGGGGACAGGGATGGGTAATGCAATCTCCAACCCGACTTAATCGTGTCTCCACTCCGACTTTATATTTAAATTTTAAAATATTAATATTTTAAAAATATTTCTTTTTCCCTATTATATATAATGTAATTTTTATATATTTTTTATATCAATTAGTTTATTACATTATTCTCTTTCTCTTATCTTTCAGTTTTTTATGCTCTCCAACCATTTTTTTTTTAATCTTTCCAAGTATTCTAAATTTGTATAAAAAAATATTGAATATTTCTTTTACATACATATTTTATATAAATATAATAAATTAAAATATATATTTAATTAATAATAATTATAAATTATAAATATTTATTTATGTATAAAAATATATAAAAATAGTAAAATTAATTTATTATAAATATAATTATTTTTTTAAAATAATGTAGATCGGACCGGACGGGACGGAGAAACCTAAAATTCAACAATCACGAAAATAGAGACTTAATTTTTAATATGACGTGATTGGTAACGGGAATAGAGAAAATTAAAAAAAATCAGGTACAGGGATCAAGCATGATGAATTGAAATTGAAGTGAATATGTATCAACCAATTATAATTATTTTGCATGATGAACAGGCATGGAGCAATGGGAGGATTCAAGCAGTGACACACAGAGTGGTGATGACTAACAAAGATAAAGGCAGATACTCATTTGCAGTCTTTACAATGCCAAAGCAAGAGATGGTTGTTGAGGTGCCTGGTGAGCTCGTGGATGACAAAATCCACCCTCTTTGTTATCATCCATTCAATTATGGAGAGTTTGTGAATTACTTTGCTTCAACTCTCACACCAAATGCACTTGAAGAATTTGCAAGTGTTTGAGATACTTGTCATACTCGAGAACAAGCCAAAAGATACAAAGGAATCACTATGAAACTCCTTTTATATGTAGTGCATAATAATGATCGATTACATTAAGATAATAAGATTCATGTCTTTCCCTTAATTATATGTTTATATATAACTGCTTTATAATGATATTAATTTGTTTCGTTTGATAACAATGAAAGAAAGTTCTATCAATAAACAAAAATAAATCAATTTTTGACGACAAAATGCGCGCATAACATTCCTCGTATGTTAAAATCATGCCAAGAATTTATGAACCCAGAAAAAAAATAATAAATAAGGTTCTTTTATCTTTAAATATTAAATTTTTTTAAATACATATTATATAAAAAAAAGATAAATAATTTCATTAAATATATATATATATATATATATATATATATATATATATTGAAGAAATAACACAGTTTTAATAAATCATATAAAAATGCCACAATTTTTTATTTGATTACTCTTATATCATTAAAAAGAATAGTATATATATTTAAGTATTTGATCCTCAAAGTGCTGCGAGAGAGAGCAAAGGAAAAAAAGAGTAGAGCAAAGCATGGTGGAGCACGAAGACTCAAACTCAAGCACCGTCCAGAAGATTCTAGATCTTCTCTACGCCACCGGCTACGTCCACGCCACAAATTCCGATGTGCCACCGTCTGAAAAAGTTGCCACCGGCCTCTCCCAGTGCATCGCCGCCATAACGCAAGTATCTCTTTCTCCCTTCCTTTCAATCAATTTGGTTGAGGTTTTCTCTGCACTCAATCCCCCTAACTCGCCTTGCAGAGACCATGACAACACACTTGGCATCGAGGAATCTTTAAGATTAGTTGGATGTCCGCACCCTCTTCGACTCTCTCACGTTCAAGATCTCGAAGCCGACGCCCTTTTTCCTGTAATTCAGTGGCTCACGTCACAGCTTCCGCAAAATCAAGAACAGCGTGCCAGCGAGGTATTGGACTGTTGCTAATATAGATCGAAACTTTTGGTTCTGATGAAGTGAAGAGGATTGGCCATGTGCCTGTTTGTTGAAATAATGAAATGGGAGCTTGAAGTGTGTTTTCGACTATTTTTATTATCTAGGGCATGTTTGTTTCTGTTTTTCAAAACTGTTTTTAAAATTAATATATTTTTTGGTAAGTAGTATATGGGCTGACAAAATTTATGATGCCATCTATACTTTTAGTGGAAAAGCTCTCAAAACCATCTATAACTTGTATCCCAACTGAGTCCTAGACACTTGTTTATACTGAATTTATTGACTTTTCTCCTAGCTAATTAAAAGTTATTTGAGCTGTCATTTCTGATTGATTATCGGTATATAGAAATTGAACTCTATATTTTCTTCACTTCATTTTCTACAGATAGTTTTTGAATTTTTTTTAAACAGTTTTTAAAAACTTATAAATAAAAATAGCTGTTGCAACCTTAATCCACATATGCTTTGTGCTTATTACTTGTTTAATGCAGAGTGCTGATTTTTTGTATAGGTTTGTCATGCTGAAAATACCATTGAAGTGAATGAGTGTAGAACTTCGATTGAGGCGTTGAGTGGCAACTTGGATGAACTGGTTGGTGAGATGGATAAGATGTTAGATATGAAACTGTCTCCTTTTTGTTGATAACATGCCCCATCGTCCTCTTTTTAAATCTGCTTTGATTGTTAGTTTTATGCATATCCTGCCTAATCTGTTATTGTTAACCGCGAAAGGATAACCGTTCCTTTGTATTTCTAAGTGCTATCCTTAGCAGCATTTACATCTATGTTATGTATAAATTAATTTGGCTTTGCTATTGAATGTGCTTCTTATTTTTTGCCCAAAGAATCAGCGGAAGATAAGCGTTGTGAAGCAATTAACTATTCTACAAGAGAGAATCAATAACGAGGGTGCTGATTCTGCAGCACAGAAGTTGGCTTCTTTAATGACGTCTTTGAAGGTGAATTGTTTCTTTCAATTTATGTAGTATTCAAATTTTCAAACCTGCTGTGCAGTGCAAGAGATTTAACTAATTTTTAATTAGCAATTACTCAAAAATTTAATATTATGTGTTTCTAATGCCATTCACTGTTGGCTCAGGATCTTGAAAAGCAGGAAAATTACTTTCAGTCCTATCGTGATTCTAGACATGCAGAACTACAAGCTGATATTGGTGAATTAGAGAGGCAAATAACAAATGACAGTGATAACAAGAACCTATCTGATGGACTACATAATTCTTTTAATGAATTAGTTGAAAAAGTCAATTTGATGAAAAAGGTAAACTAGTTTTAACAAGACGATATGTTTCCTACTTCTTTTATTCTTATTTTGTGGCACGTAATGATTTTGAATTGTTGATGTGGTTGCTTTGCAATTTCTGAAATTAGGGAACATGTGGCTGATGTGATGAAATTGTGGTCACTATATAAGTGCACCTTGACTAGTTCTTGACCATTGCTTATTTCATTGTTTCAATTACTATAAACCTCGTACTTTTTCCTATGCGTTAGCAACTTGCTGCTAGACTGAGGGATATTGTGGCATTAAGACGTCAGATTGATGACCTACCATGCCAATCAGAAATCATCCAGTACGTTTGTTTCTTTCACCTTTCATATGTACATAATTTCCACCATACTCCTTAAAGCTCTTTGGCAATGAATTTGAATGTGTTCTTCCCTAGTTCTAAGTTATGTTCAATTAAAATAATCCAGGATATTTTCTTTCAAATTCGTATGCACGTATCTTTCAATGTTCTTATACACTTTTGAAACTCTCTGGACACGTGCATTACTTTATTTCAATTTTGTGCAATTTGAACTCATTTTCAATTCAAGGTAGGGAAATACTAACACAATATAATTAATTTTTACCTTTATATTTCTTAATTTCCACAATTTTTGTTTCCTAAACATTTGGGGTGGGTTTGATTACAGGATAGGGAGAGACTGATAAGGCTTAAATTGGATAGGAAAATTGAAGAAAGATATCACATTCCTCTTTAATCTTCTATTCCCTTCTTATTGGTAGGAAATTTTATCAATTATATTCACCTAAGCCTACTAGTCTCTAAGATATACTAATTCATGTGGGAGTTATGTCCCAGCTGTTAATGCATCCTTCATGAGAAGAAGAATGTGTAATATGTTTAAAAGCTTATAAAAAAATACTAGATTTCGACCATTGTGCATTGAAGAGAGGAAATGAATGCCATGCATGTATGACAAGTTCAATAAGAATGTGGAACCTACTTGTCAGTCTTAAATATATTATTTACTGGATATTTCTTCATTTGTGTCTGCAGGTATGAATGTCGGCTCTCTGAACTGTATGCGCAAATACAGGTTCATGAAATTGTTTTAATGAAAAAATGTTTATTATAAAAAAAAAGATAAATATTAAGTTAGCGGGAGGATAATATTTTTTATTGTTTATCAGATCATAGTCATACTAGTTCTTCTAATTGATATGCATGTCTTTGGTTTTGCCTATGTACAGGGGAAACATCGACAAACTCGGAAATACTATGCTACCTACAATGCTCTCTTGGAAATAAAAGAATTGATGTTAAAGCAAACATCTTTGTTGAATTCAATCATTTCCCAGGTATTCATTGGAGAACTGGAAACATGCTGTGCAAATTTCTCTTGCATTTGGTTTGGTATCAAAGAAACCACATTTTAGATAGATTATGGTTAACCATGACCCAGGCAGCTTTTTAACACTACACACATGCAATTGCTCAGAAAAGAAAAAGATTATTCACAACTAAAAGTAGAGTTCATAAAGACTAATCAAAACTCATTGCTTAAACATACAATCACCATAAAAAGATGATAGAATTAATTAAGAAAAAAAAAAAAAAGGAACAGAGCAAAGGGAGTTCAAAGACCATAGCACTTACAAAAAGTACTTGATGGCCTGTGAGTGAAGATGCTACACGTGTAATACATCTTTAGCATATTTTGGGTTGAAGGTACTAAAAATTAGGGTTATTATTGTCTATCATGAATCAACTAAAGTTGAGTTGTTGGATGAATACTCATGAATGGTTTATTACTTCTCTTACACTTTGTTTAAGAGTCCTTTTGGCTTCAAGCATGGTAATTGGCTGGAGAATGGAGGTTGCAAGTGGAGTTCTTGATCTCTTGGTCAAGGAGACTCTAATACTATGTTAGGAACTTAAAGTTGTTAATCACTTTCTGTAGCATAGTTGTGTCATGCTGTGACTATGGGCTGCTCTATTTTTTGTTGTAGCTTGCTGTCCAACTGGGGCAGTGCAAATTCCGGTCACATTCACTGCATTAGTGGGTGCAATTTTAGTTAAGGGTTGAAAACCCCTGTTTACACTCCCCCCTCCCGCCCCCTCCAATACTGCATTGTTCTGGTTATCTTGGGGGACAATTTCATAATTTCACTTCCCTTTGTTTGGGATTTTAACCTGAAACCCTGTTATAAAACAATTGTTCACCCTTGTTTTTGTAATTCGTTGCCTGCTGTTCTCTGGTGCTGTCCCTGGCCGTTTCTGATGTTTCCCAGCACCCTCCTGTCAGCTGTCCTAAATTACTGATAGTTTAAGCTATTGGAAAGGCACAGATAATTTCATCACCTCTTTCTTTTCTATATGTCAATGGGATTCTACAGCATATTCTGGTCTGAAGTTTTTCTTGACCTTAAGTCTTTTAGAGTAGTGAAAAGAATTCATGGGTGTCTGCCATGCCATGTTATGACTTTTGGAAGGTAGTTATCCACCACGAACCTGGTTTGAGGGTGCGTTTTGTGTAACAATATGATTTAGGTCATACATTTCTTATTTGCTGATGTTCTTAACATTTGTTTATATATATTATTTGATCTAAAATTTTCTTGATATATAATTTATTTAAAGAAGACTATGAGATTACGCAAAAAAAGGCAGAGGTATCCATTTTTTTTCCATTGGGTGCCTTCCGCCACCACACCCTGTTGCCATCCAGTGAGAATAAACTGTTTGGCCTGGTGTTTCATTTTTTACAGGGGAAGGTTTTTTTCCTTGAATGTTATCTAATCAGTTTTAGTTGTTGGTGTGTTTCTTTTCGCTTGTTTGCAGTTTCAAGAGGCCTTTAGTAGCACTGATGGGCGTATAAAACTTGTTCATTCCATGGAAGGAATTGTCAAGGGAAGTCAACAGGTAATGCTATTTTCTATCTTTAATAAGTGATAAATGTGGAAGAGTCTTAGGTGTTTTGTTGATTTTAACTGATGAAGTCTAAGAACATTGAACAATCTGATTAGGGATAAATTGTTTGTTTGAGCCATCACATATGCTTTTGTCCTTTTTGAAATTTTATCATTGGATTATATGGAAAACACAAGGCATAAGCTTTAACACCAGCTGAAGTTTATATAAGCAAACATGGAGGCTTCTATTTCCCTAAAATAGAGGGTATGTAAAAATATTTTTGACGAAATCACAATGAAACACTGTTGATGTATTGAATTACTAGTTTATAAATCAGTTTTTAATAATGCTTACAATGCAGAATTAAAGCCATATCTAATTCTTTCTGCATTGAATAAATTGGTTTGGTTTGAATGACATTCTTAATATAATTATGATTTAGATAATACATCTGTAGAATCAATTTTCAGTTTCACGGTAATTTTGTAGATAAAAATCCTAATACTTTTTTATTAAAAATAATTCTCATTTTCTGTATGGTGTGTTATGAGCATTTTAATAGACTGTAAATGTGAATATTCTTCTAATCTTCCTTCTGTTTATATTTGTCCACTGAATGTGATCTCTACAAATAAGAGTTTTAACTGCTGCACTTACGTGCAGAAGCTAGAAAGGGTTCATTTAGGATTTCAAGAAGAAGAGAGAATCCGCAATGATCTAAAGGATAGGTATGCTGCAGCAATCGGTGAGCAGAAGCGCTGCTATTCTCTGTTCAAAGCTTTTCAGGTAAACTTTTCGTCCATCTGATGCCACCGTGGGTGGTGCAGTCTTAAGGTTTTTGGTGTGGTTTCTTTGTGTCCTAATTATGCTTTTCGTTCCATAACTGATTTCTCATCAATTAATTTAAGAATGATATTGTCATTGTGAATTGACAGTGTGGCATTGCATAATTTAAGAATGATAGTGTGTGTCTATAAACTCGTTAGCAAAAGTAAAGGGGTTTTCTTAAACGAACTTAACTAGCTTATAATGTTCTTTTAAATGAATTGAACTATCTCATAATTTTTTTCTTGAATCTTATTATTATTACCCTCAATCATTCTCCTTATTAACATTATTACCCTAAAAATTCCTTATAAATTATTTATTCTTTCTTCTTATTATTACTCTAAATATTTGAATAAAATACCTCTTTTATTGTCTCGTATAATATTATATTATGTAACTCTGTTAAAGAGATTTCTTTAATGACCAGGCCCAATGTGCAAAGAAATAGAGGTTTCAGTGTCAAAGTTCCAAGTGATAATTGGCGTCAAAGCAAGAGTTGCGGTACATGCTCACCAAATTTATGCATTTCTAACATGATGCGTGACCTGAGTTGCAGTTGGGGTGATTCACATTCATTCATTGTTATTTGCAATTTTATTTTAAAGTAATATAAAGCATTCTTTGTTTTTAGTATTTTTCTACAAGTTTTTCTTTAAAATTAGAAAATTCTCTAATTTTGAAAATTAACCAAATGTTTTTTTTAGATTAATGTCTGTTTTACTTTTAACAGAAATGTTTATTTTTAGATAATGCGATATTAAATCTTTTAACATTTAACATTTAGTCTAAGTTGTACATTCATTTGGGAGTTATAATTTTATGAACGAGTTACGGCTTAGATGTGCAAAAAGAAGAATTGAATGTTTACAAAATTTAGTGATATACAAAATCCGATTAATTAATACATTATCAATTGTCCAATGCTTTGATTAAAAATAGCACGTTGTGGGAAGCACAATGACTGTATACTGGGAAGACGTCACATCTAGTCTGTTCATATTGTAAGATTTGTGAATATATTAAGAGATGGATTATATAAAATGTAGAGTGGGTATTTATAAAAATGCTCTTTGATCAATACATTAACTTCATGTTTCTTTGATTTTATTCTGATAATTCATTCGTAATAAGTTTTTTAAATAAATTTTTCATTCGTAATAAGCTTTTTAAATAAATAACTCATTCCAGATCATTTTAACTCACTCAGAAAATATACAAACCAGGTTTGAAAATTGGAAAGTGTGTCGATTAATGCTATTGTAGGTTTTCCGTCTGCGTTTCTTTTCACATGTTGGCACTCAAGGGGCACGAATCTTCTTCATTTTTGCATTACAATATGCATGAATCTTCCAACTTTTTATCTTAGATATCAATTGCATTACTGGTATATAAGCTGGTTCAATGTTCACGCCATTTTCTTTAATCTTTAATTAATTAAAATCACCTTTATATTATAAAATAATCTTATCATTCTTAATAATATAATAGTAACTCGGTGCCTCTTTTTCTTCTCTTGTAACACATACTTTGCCATTTTTGCTTACACTTATAAATTTATATCCCTTTACCTAATTATTTTTAGTTGACTGGAGGGAAAAATCTTATAGGGTTTTTTGTTAAACCTTATATCATATCTATAAATGTTAAGCTACAATAGAGGTTAAAAACATTAAGGTACAATACCTAAAAATGGGTGTTGCCGCATGAAGTCATTTTTTAATAAGGGATACTATTTTAGGTTGTAGAAATTCATTCCCCGTAAGCTTTTCGTTTTTCTTTTTTTTCAGCAATGCATACGTTGACCAACATCCCCCAAAAGGCACAAACAAAATAAAAACTAGAAATAATGATAAACTCTCTTTTGTATGCTTTTTTATTTTGTGGGGTTAAGGGGCACGCATTTGTCACGTAAAAACTGGTTCGATTGTTATAACAAAATATTGAGAAATTAGTGACTAGAGCATGTGTAATCATGTAAAAAATGGCAGATCAATAAATGGGTTATTAAAAATTGGGTGATGATCTTTTGACAACCGAAAGAACAAACAACCAAAAAACAACTCATTTTATTAATATAATAATCATGAAAGAGTTTAAATAAAAATAAAAAATAGTTAAAATTATTATTATAATATAAAATGCAGTTGTTTAGAGGGTTGTATATGTGAATAGTGGTGTCAAAATATCTTTTTCCTTAAAAATTTAAGTACATGCCAAAAAACATTTCGGTTGAATTATACGCTCAATTAATTAATTCACAGAATCAGTTTCATGCCAAAGACTTAGTGGCAGAGAAACCTGTAGAACATAAGGCTAGATAGAATATTCTGATAGAAAAGGAAAAGATCTTGAGAACACCCACATCTCATCTATACACACACACAGAGATTGTATGCACGAATATATAAAATAATATGATGTGATAAGAAGAAAATGAAAAATAGTTGAGAGTATCTAATATATACATATATTAACAAGAGTTGAATAAATAAAGACAAATAAATATTTTTGAAAATTTAAAGTGTTAGTATCTTCAAAGAAATTGCATGTCTACTTTCTAAAAATTTGTCTTGTCGTCCAAATGATATCTGTGCCATGACATTCTTAAAATATTAAAATTAGGAAGGGAAAATGCAAGAGTGTCTTAATGTTAAGGAAATGACAAAGATGGCATTGAATGGGGACAAATCTTGCATGTTATGTTAGTGGTCCTTCTCTGTAGTTATTTAATGTAAGCATGTTATGCTTGCCAGAATATGTAGAAGTGTGTGATATGTGAATTGGTTTTTTTGCCTTAAATAAACAAATAAAAGAGGATGATTTACGTGCATTATATTAGGTTAAAATTCAAAAAAAATGAATGAATAATGCTAATATAAAGCATGTGTTTTCCTTAAGCTAGTAAGTTATCATCTTTGCATAATCATAACCCTTATTCAATGAAATCGAAATTCAGTCTAGTGGTTACAAACTTGGTAGTAGAAAAGTTGACATGAAACTAAACAAACTAAAGGAATACATTAAAGACACGATATTTCAAATCCTAACCAAAGATAATGAGTTTCCAAACTTCTGGGCCCTAATCTCATGATACTCCTTCACAGTGACATCACGAAAAAGAGCAACAGGGCTATTATCCCCAGAGAGAGACGGAGACAGGACATAATCAACGGGTGGAGTGTAGAAATAAGCGATAGAGTAACGTTTGCGAGTCTCGTTGAGAGTTACGCGGTGAAGAGGGCTGCAGAAGCGTCCATTGGAGATGATGTGTAAGAGATCTCCCAAGTGAACGATGAGAGAGTTAGGGTGAGGGTGCACATTGATCCACCCTTTTCCTTCCTTGAAGAGTTGGAGACCAGTGCTTGGGCTCTGAACAATTGTTAAGATCGAAGTGTCTGTGTGAGGGGCTAAACCCATAGCTCGGTCTGGTTCGGGACAACTTGGGAAGAAGTTCAACTGAAGAACTTCACTTATGTCGCTTGTAACAACCCACTTCCTTTTTTCCTCAGGAATCTTCAACATGTCGAACAGCATCTCTGTTAGTCGCTCCGCTAGAACCTTCATTTCCTTCTCATAATTCTCCATTCTGTCACTACACAGTGTTTGTAACATGCAAGACATTATTCCTCAATAAATGTTGTTTTCTTCTTCATATTTACTAAAATGTCAATTTTGAGAGAAGAACAGAATCAGAAAAATGACAGGTTCTATACTTTCCTTTCTCTCGCAGTGTAAATTTATTAGCTCATCATGCAACTTTGAGCATACTGCAGAGTTGAAGTTTTCAAGACTTCTATTTAACTTCTTCATTTTATTATTTCAGACACTTAACATATTTCAAGTTCTCTTCAACTAGATCTGTACTCAAACCTAAAAACTTATTAAAAAGAAACCATGTTAGGATCCAAGTTGGTTGCATGGAAGTGTAGCTGTACTTACCAAAACCTTGCATAGTCATCAGGCCATATCTTTTTGACATCACGAGCGGAAGAACCGATGATGGTGAATCCTTCGTGCCACATGGACTTGGGGAAGAAAGGTGAAATTCGTGCTCTGCCATATCCGCTTGCACCACCGGGAGATCTTAGAGCCTTCAACTTTTGTTCAGTGGGGAGAGAGAATAGGCGTTTGACTTCTTCTTCAGTACCTTGAATAACATCTAAGGGTATCCCATGATTCTTCAACTGGAAGGCACCCCATTTCTCACATGCAAGCCCTATGAGCTCTGTGGCTTTGGGATCCAAGAAGTCTATGATGGGCATGGATGATGCAGGATCATCGAATGAGCAATCATCATCACTAGGTTGAAACCATGCGTGGGAATCGGGTAAGGTTGGTGGGGGTGAAGAAAAGTCTAAGGGGATGATATCACCAAGGTTGAGAGGGATTCCTTTGTAGGCTTCAGATAGAGTATCCATTTTTACTATGATGAAACTGCATATTACAGTGTCGAGATAAGGGAGTATATATAGTCATGAAAAAGGTAGGGTTTTGAGACAAATTTTCTCATTAAAGATAATATATAAGCAAGAAAACTATAATTGAAAATAAAAAGTGCATTATATATTAGTGAATATATAGTTTTAAGTTTTTTAGTTAGTTATTATTACAAAAAGTTAAAGAAATGGTTTTTAACATATGTAAGATGGTTTTCGTCACCGATAAAGGAAAATAAAAGTTTTGTATTGATTTTGTCTTTTATAAGTTGCAGGAGATGACAGAGATGTTATGGATGGCGACAAATATTGCATGTTATGTAAGTGGCCCATTTTGACAGCATTTGGAGAAGTGTGTTATATGCCATCGATCGGTGCCTTCATATTAATTATAATTACCTAATTATTATTATTATTATACTTATATATATATATATATATATATATATAATATTAAGAATAAAAGTAACAACATTAAACCTCATAACTAAAACAAAATATGAAAAAAAAATTGATAATACATAATAATAAAATTTTATTAGAGAAAGAAATTACAGTATTTTACAGTATTTTTCTTAAAAAAAATGAAGTGATTTATAAGATAAATATTATATTTATTTTATAATAAAAAAAGTAAATATCAATATTTTTTATTTTTTATTTTTTTTATATTTTATTTTAGTTGTGAATTTTTATGTTATTATTTTAGTTCCTAACAATGATATCAGAGTAATATGGTCACATAGTTGTATTATATTATTCCATTTATATAGTCATTAGAATACTGTTAAATAAAATTCTTAGTATATGTTTTATTGTTGGAGTTAATCTAATATTTTACATTAGAAAAGAATACTTTTAGTTACTAGACATAAATTGTGGTAATGTGACCGCTCATGTCTAGGAAAAGTTTTAACAAGAAAAGTAATAGTATTTAAATATGTTTATTTGTAAACTACTTCTATTTTCTAAAAGCTTACATAGTGTACTAGTTATGATTTATGTTATTGTTCCAGTAGATAATATTATTTATAGTAAAAGGTGCATAAATTAGTTAAAATTATGACAACAAAATATAAGATATAAAAATTTAATGGGGATAATTCTCATCGTGAAAATTGTATATGAAGACAATTTTAATAAAGCGCTAGGTATACAATTGGATAAAGACTCATGATCATCATAGATCAAAGGTGCAATGAAATCAATAACAACATTATAGCAAATTTAAATTTGCACTTAATATTGACAAGTATATTTGTGTCTAGCATTGTGGGGAAAGATACTAAGAAGGAGATTTGGGAGTCCTTTATCAAATTGTATGAGGTTAAATCATTTTATATAAGAATATTCTTAAATAGAAAACTTTATACTCTTCAAATGAGTAAGTTCAACATCAATTATGGATCACATCAACAATCTGAATACATTGTTTGTCAAATTATCAGTAGCAAATTTCAATATAGTTGAAAATGAATATGTGAAACTTCTATTTCATATATAGCTTATAAAATTCGTATGATCAACTTATCAATATAACGAATAATAATATTAATGAACATTACACTTTAAGGATATTGTTGGAGCTATTCTTGAAGAATAATTCAAGCAAAAAAGTAAGATGAAAAGTTTGAACTGAGCAGAGGTTTTAACAATGATGTGAGGTAGATCAATAAAATATGATTCCACCAAAAGTTAAAATCATGGTAGATCAAATTCTCTAGAAAGGAAGAATTTTATTTACTATCATTATGGCAACATGCAAGAAAGATTGTTGACTTAAAGCAATATATATTGAAGTTTGTTAGAGTGATTATTAGGAGGAAAAACATATTGGACTTAATTTATTCTGATGTGTTGAAATCGTCAATATTATCCTTAAGAGGGACATGATATTTTGTATAGTGATGATAATTAATCCAGAACATTATGAGTGTATTACATCAAGACAAAGTTTGTGTTTCAAAAATTAAAGAAAAAACTAAATAAAAAATCCAAGAAAGACAAATCTTGGATATGCTAACGATGTGAAGGAGCATTTTCTGTAAGTAATAGAAAAGAAAATATATTTTTTTAGAGTGAACTTGGAAAGAATATTGATGTGAAAGACTTTTCTGTGAGTAATAGATAAGAAAATATATTTTTTTAGAGTGAACATGGAAAGAAGATTGATGTGAAAGACTTTAAAGAAAAAAGTAAATTTGGTTTATAGCTTAACCAAATTTTCATAAGTCTAAAGCAGGAGTCTGAATATTGGTAAAAGTTTTTATTCTTCTTTATTATTCTTGATTACAGTAGATTCAGTTCAATATATTGCACCTATTACAATATATTTGATGAGAATGATTTCATCATTTTGTCGTTGTACATGGATGACATGTTAATAGTAGACCCCAACAAAGCTCAAATCCAATAATTGAAGACACATTTTGGCTAAAAATTTTGATATGAAGGATTAAGGACCATTTGATACTAAAAGTCTTACTGTACTTCAACATGTAAGGATGTAAGTTAGTTTCTACCCCACTTCCTATTAAGTAAGTTATCCTCAAGTATGAGTCCTAACAATGAAGAAAATATTTCGAGTATTATATACATCGGTGGTGAGAAGTCTTATGGATATGATGATCAATACAAGACTAAATATTATATAAATAATGAGAATGGTTAGTATATTCATGGCAAATGATGGTAGAGAGCATTGGTGTTATTAAGAAATCCTTATCAAAGAAACCTTAGATGTTGTATTATGTTTTGAATTATCAGAACTAATTATCAAATACTATGTTTATTTAGATTTTGTAGGTGATCTTGATACGTTTACATTTGTACAAGAGATAGTAACTTGGTTATTCAAGTTACATAATATTGTAGTTTCTCTATTATAGAAATTGAGTATATAATAGTCACCCAACATGTAAAAAAGTTATCTAGATCAAAAAGGTTAATAGAGAAACTCGGATACGTACAACAAAAAATTATTATGTATTATAAGTCAAAATATCTTGCACATATTACAAGGAATTTCATCTTATATTCCAAGACAAAACAAGAAGTAACAGATGTTATGACACTCTAGCAATGACACATTTATATGGAATTGATCTATTGAAAAAATATCAACCTAAAAGATAATAATAATAATCATATATAATAAATATTTGATTTATTTAATTAAACATGAAAATATGAAAAGAAAATTTTTACATTAAAAAACATATTTAGTATTTATTTTTTTTATTATGAGAGAATTAATTATTTATCTTGTAAATGGTTCAAAAATCACTTTTTACTCGTTATTATATAATAATTATATTTTAAATAAAAATATTATAATTTATTTTAATAATAATATTTTATTATTATTTATCATGGATGCTGCTCCTCTTTTATATTTTTATTTTAATTATAAGTTTATATATATATATATATATATATATATATATATATATATATATATGAAACATATTACATTAAAAAAACATTATAACATATTGGAAAGTGTGATGATTAATGTTAATGTAGGTTTTTCGTCTGCGTTTCTTTTCACATGTATGCAGTCAAAGTCCCTTTAATTCAATGTTTTATACACATCTTTTAGGAACTATAACAAAACCACAATTATCATAAAGATAATGACATTACAATTAATACGCATGAATCTTCCAATTTTATTTTATCGTAGTATCAATTTACAAAGTATTTTACATGCTCGTTCAACGCTCAAAATTGTAAATATATTGAGTTTATTCAGCCTATTTTCTTTAAAGTTCTCTATATTGCAATCTAATCTAACTAATCAATCAATTAAACTCACCTTTATTTTATAAATCAAACTTCTTTTTCTTAAACAATATAACTTTTTTTTATTTATTAAATTATTTCTTTTAAAAAATGTAATTGCTATATTTCAGCATATTTTGAAGAGTAAATTTTAAAAAATCAATCATAATTTGCATAAGTTACCACAATTTTCTTAAATTACACTAATACCCTTTTTTCCATTATAATGATATTCTTTAAGAATGTACATGTATATGATGTAAAAAATTACGACGTATATAATAACTTTAAAACTTCTTAATGCCATATGGTATATATGTTACAAATTTTTAATATAATTACGAAATTTAGTTTTGGGTTGCATGTTACATAGTAATGTTTTTGTATATGTTTTATTTTTTAAAAAATAATATAATTGTTTAATTCCATATACTACATAAAAATAAAATAAAATAAAATGGATTTAATTTAGATATCCAATTGAAATGCAACAAACAAAAGAGAAAGAAAATCTAGTATCGCATTTTATCATGTTGTCTAATTGGTGATTGATTGTATCTTTCAATTTATTAACCATTTTTCTACATTTTTAATTAAATATTATGTATGGTTTAGATAATTTAATAATCTTACATGAATTTCATTATATCATAATCCATTTAAAGACTAGTGTTAAATAAAATAACAAAATTTTAACCATCAATAATAAGTCATTACATTTAAAATAATCAGACACATAAATATATATATATATATATATATATATATATATATTTCTACAATATAAAAAAATTATAAACAAAAATAGTTAAACATAGAAAGAATAATACATAAACAAATCAAAATACTTCAATTAAAATTATTGAATATTTATGTTTTAGAACTATCGTACTATTAATCAGTCACTAAATATATGATTACTTTTCTCATCAAAATTAATAATTTAATCTTAAAAAACATCTTAATTATTTAATAAAAAATATAACAGCAAAGTTATTTTTAATTTATTATATATACAATCTTTATTTTAAAGTTAATTTTATTCATATTAAAATAAATAAACTATAAATTAAATTAGATTCAAAAACTCTAAATTAATTTAACAACAAAACAAAATGTAAATTTCGAATCGAATCAACTTTATTAAATTTGGATTGAAGTTTTGAAATCCAATCCACGATGACCCGAAGCCCCCATATCGATCTTAGAAAGAGTGAGAAATGGAGGAGACAACAATTTCAAGTACTGATGAAAGACAGTGAGTCTGCAAACTTCTGAGACTTGATCCCAATATACTCCTCCACGGTCACGTCACGAAAACGAGCAACAGAGTTAAGATCACTACTCACGCAGGGAGACAACATATAATGCATGGGTGGAGAGTAGAAATAAGCCACGGAGTAACGTTTCTTCTCATTCAGCATCACGCGGTGAACCGGGCAGCTGAAGCGTGCATTGGATATGATGTGTAAGAAATCGCCTGTGTGAACAATGAGAGCATCAGGGTGAGGGTTCACAGGGATCCACCCTTTTCCTTCCTTGAAGATTTGCAGACCAGTGGATGGAGTTTGAAGGATTGTGAAGATTGAAGTGTCAGTGTGAGGAGCCAAACCCATGGCTCGGTTCGGGTCAGGACAACTTGGGTTGAAATTCAACTGAAGAGCTCCATTTGCCTCGCTTGCACCAACCCACTTCCTTTTTTCCTCAGAAATCCCCAGCAACTCCATCACCATCTCTGTTAGTCGCTCCGCTATAATCCTCATTTGCTTCTCATAATTCTCCATTCTATCACTGCACAGTTAATTAATTAGTCCATATATCGGTGTTTGTAACATGCACGACATATAGAACTTAATATATAAGACAAAACTTATATATATTATCAATTCTGAGTGACGAATAGCAACAGAAAAAATATATGCTACTTGGCTGGTTCTATATATTCTATGTTATAGTGCAGATTTACGAGTTTGTCTTTATTATCTCATGCAATGTTAAGTTTACTTGCAGAGTTTAAGTTTTCAAGACTTCGGTTTAAGTATTTTGTTTTACAGAAAAAAACGACCTCTAAACTTAGTTTTCGCAAGGAAGTTTATTGAGTGCCATGTGGTAGTTGGAATATTGCTTATATATATAAGGACAAAATAACAAGTCATGCATTTTTTTTTTACCTTTCACTTGAGATGTATTTTAGTTTAAAACTCAAACTTGTGTTCAACTAACTTGAATCAACGGCTTCATCTCTAGCCAAACCTAAATTAAGAAAGCAAGTGTTTGTCGAGACATGTTAGTGTGAACGTTGCATGGAAGTGTGATTGTACTTACCAAAAGCGTGCATAATCATCAGGCCATATCTTTTTGGCATCGTGAGAGGGAGAGCCGATGATGGTGAATCCTTCGTGCCACATGCACTTGGAGAAGAAAGGTGCAATCCGTGCTATGCCATATCCAGTGGCACCAGTAGGGGATCTAAGAGCCTTCATTTTTTGTTCAGAAGGGAGAGAGAAGAGGCGTTGGACCTCTTCTTCCACACCCTGAATAACATCTAAGGGTATGCCATGATTCTTCAAATGGAAGGCACCCCAGTTCTCACATGCAAGGGCTATGAGTTTGGTGGCATTCGGATCCATGAGGTCTATGATGGGTATGGATGATGATGATGCAGGATCACTGAATGAGAATTCATCACCATCATCATTGGGTTGGGTCCATGCGTGGGAATCGGGTAAACTCGGTGATGAAGAAAAGTCTAAGGGGATGATATCACCAAGCTTCAGAGGGTGTGTTTTGTAGGCTTCTGAGAGAGTATTCATCTTTATTAAGCTAAAACTTTGAGCTAAAGAGTTGAGATTAGAGAGAGAGATATATAGAGGTCCACAAAGTGGAGGTTCACACAAGTTTGGCTCTTGTTCTTAAAAAAATAAATTTAATATGTTTAATATTTCTTCTCATGTTGGTGAAAATTATTTTATTATATAACAAAACTAATAAGTTACTAATTATATTTTAAGAAATAGATTAAAAAATAAAAATTATATTATATTTTTAGTTAAATTCCATCTTGTATAGTATATATACGTGGGTTAATCGACGATGACAACGAAAGGATATTATATTTATTTTCTGGGGAAATGTATGAATATTAAAAAGAAAGGAAGATTAGGTTAAAATGTACAGGTGGAAGAGGGATGGTATTGGACTGCGTTGAGTTGAGTTTTGGTATTTAGGAAAATATGAATGAAAATGACAAAGGAAGGAACAAAGTGTTGTTGGGAAGAGGTATTAAGCATCTAAAAGTCTTAAAAACATTATAAAAAGGAACGAACCAAGGTCCCATTTCCTGTGCAATGTACAGAATGAGAAGACTGTGTTTTCCAATCCACTTATTATTTTTATTTTCTTGTTATAAAAGATGAAAGATATTTTGTTTTTTCAAAAACTCGAAAAAATGCGTAGAACGGTCCCTCCCTTGTTTATTGCCTCTTGGGAAACAAAATAAATAAATGAACCCGTCAATGCTTATCTCTTGTGTGAAATTTACTTTTTGTGTGATTTTTATAATAAAAAGTTGAGGAAGTAATTGCTACAGCATGTGTATAATTATCTAAGAAAAATCGCATTTGCCTAAATTTGAATTATAAATTATATCAAACACTAACACGCAAAAGACTTAGTGACGGAGCAACGTGTAAAACATGAAGTCAATATATATAACCTGATAGAAAAGGAAAATGTTCTGTGGTCGCTCCAAACCTCATTTATACCAAGAGAGATGATATATAAATATGTTGAGTAACACGATTTGATAAAAGATAAAAATAAAAATTGAAATAGATATGTTTAGCATATATCATTGTTGACAAATATGTAGAATCTTTCGAAGAAAACTTCAAGTGTTATAGAATCTTCTAATAAATTGCATGTAGTTTGCTTTCTAATTTCTCGGCTTATCATTCAAATAATACTGAAAGTAATGTCTGAAAGGATACTTTATATGTGTGTGATGGTGTTCTTGAAATATTAAAATTAATAACAGAAAATGTAAGAGTGTTTTGATGGAAAAGAAAAAGTTTTGCATGGATCTGTCTCATTCAGTATATATGTTGCAGGAGATGACAGAGATGTTATTGATGGAGACAAATTTTGCATGTTATGCAAGTGGCCCATCTTCTGTATATTGTTTATATTATCGATGACAGCATATGAAAGTGTGTGGTATGTGATTGATTCCTTTTCCTCAAAGAAATAAACAGAAAAGATGATTCACACGATTACATTAACTACATGAAGGTAAAGTTTAAAAGATAACATGGAAATCAATGCTTGTATGTATAATACGGAGGCACCATTATTTACTTCAGTTTCTTGTACTCTGAGCTGGCAAACATGTAGAAGGAGTAACAGGGTGAGAAGATTATTGAGCAAAGGGCAATAGTTTGGCATGCAGGTCTGAAAGAAAGTCAAACTTGTTGAATATTATGGTCAATGTCATGTGTTACATGATAAAGAGAGAAGAAAATGATTCATTCAATGTTCAGGTTCATCACATATACACTGATTTTCATCATGAACACTACTTGTAACAGTCAGCAACCATTCAAAGTCGACCCTTTCTATTGATGTGTGGATCGAGAAAGAGAATGAGATTTTTACTTGTTTTCTTTTTGCTATTTAGAGTGATAATTAAATTAAAACTTTAATTAGCAGTCTCATATGAGAATCCTTAATACTAATTAGTCTCAATGCTTCTGGTTTCTTAATCAACAGTTTCTATATCAGATTTCACTTCTGAAGTTTACTTTAAATACTTGAAAGAAACCAATAAAGATTGAATTTAACAGAGTATATGGATTATGTTAGGAGAGAAATTCATTTGAAACTGAATTGCAATTACTTTCAAAAACAAAAATTGTAAAATATTAGAAAGATGTTGGAATGATCCTAAAAGGACAGCTTATAAGATAAGTAAGGATATGAACAACTTTGAACCATATTTGGATTGTTTTATATTAAGAATAGAGATGATGCAATCTTTCGGAAATGATGTCAACTCACGTACAAGTTGCAAACCATATATAACATTTTAATGAAATTCTTCATTTTACACAGAATATTTGGAGACAGACAAACTAGACAAACCATACATGTGTTCATTGAACTTAAAATCATTGTCTGTGCTGTGCAGACAAAAATTCAATTTCATTCTGGATGAAGTAAAATAAATCTAAGAACTAGGAGCAAGAAACTTGACACACGTCACATGCCACCGTCTGCATTGCAACCATTTCATATATATGCAATTTCTAAGATTAACTCTGTAACTTGTATACATAATTTAACATAATGTTTGGATAGTGAGTTGAGTCTGAGGGATTTAATTGGATCTAGACCACATTCATAACGTTATTTAATAAAAAACAGAAAATGGATTGGACTTAGTTTTTCTATTTTATTTTTACTGAATTTAATTTAATTCAGGTTGAAGTGAAATTAGTCAATCGAGTTATGAGTTTGAAAAAAAAATAGACTATATTACTTAATATTTAAATAATTTAATATTTTAAAAATATTTATTTATTTGATATAATAATTAAATATATTAAATAATAATTAATAATATTTAATTTAATTTTTTTATGAAATGAATTCTGTTAGATCTCAAATTTAATGTATAATCCAATCTGATAAGGTTAAATTAGGTTTATTGTGTTTAACCAAATTAAAAAAATATATATTATATATATAATTTCATCTAATAACTAGAATGTCCCGTATTTAATCAAATTAAAAAAATATATTATATATAATTTTATCTAAGAATAAGAGACGTTATATAATATGATTATAATCGAAATATGGTATATTTTAGAACTCTTATTTATCACTATTTTATTCTTAAAAATTGTGTTAATAACTTAAAAGAGAGGATATATATAAATTATTTTAGTTTAAATTTCTAAAGATACGAGAAATCAATAAATAAATATATATATATATATATTAAATTATGTTTAGTTAAATTATGTTATTGAATTATCTGCCTTAATAAAAAAATTCTATAAGATGAATAATTACATTAAAAAAAATACATTTTATTAACAAATGTGAAGATCTTTCATTAATTATAATAGATTTTATTTGTTACTATTTTTTAAATATTTTTTTAGTTTTAGAGAAAGTGAGGAAGTAAAAAAATAGTATGTTTGTAAATAATATTAAATAAGTACTCGTAAAAAAGTTTCAAATGGTGCTTTTGCACTAATTGTTGAGACAAATAGTTGAAACAAAACTTCAGCCCAATATACTATATGATAAATCATACTTCCTTTACTCATTATTCCATACTTTGTTCAACTTACTCTGTTTAAGTTCTTATAGTTTGAGTTAAATTAAAAATCTCTTATTTATTAGTGATTTGATCATAATTTCAAATTTATTAACCACGGTTTTAATTTTGATTATAGCATTTATTTACATTGATTTTAAAAGATTTAATGATGGTGTAAGTTAAAAAAAATATATGAAAAGAGGTTTAAATCTAACTGAAATATCTCATCTAGATGGTAATTGCAATCATCAATAGTCGAATTAAAATAATTTTTTTTATCCTTAATAGTATTTAAATGGATGCATGACTCAGCAATCAAAGAAACCATTTCTAAGAAAGAGCCAATTCTCCTGATAAGTTGATTGTTTGAAATAAAGATAATTGTAATGATCAAAAGCACTCCATAAATTATCTTTGGTGCGTCTATTTAGCTTCGGTAAACAATCATCCTACTCTTACTCCCCAAATACATTGGAAAGGGGGGAAAAGACCGAATTGGGGTTCAAAGATATGAAGAAAATTTAACAAAAGCAAGTGAATGATACCCCAACAAGAATAAGGATAAGAAAAACTGCCAAGCCATCCAATAAATTAGAACACAACCTTTGGGTCTCAAACTCTCACTGTCCTCTTTTGTCTTCAGAACTGGGATCAGGTGGTTGAACTGGATTTCTTGTATCTTTAGCGAAAATGCTACCTTGATGTGCCCCTATGACCAGATATTCAGTAATGTCAATCAGTAACAAATTCAATAGTTCAAAAGATGAGTTGTTATAGAGTGGTCCACATATTGTATTGGTCTACTGAATTTAGAAAGCACGGTTAATAAGGTCAAGGGAAGGTTCAGTATTCTCCTATTGTCATGGGTAACAATGTAAAGTATCTTTTATTTGTGTAAACAACATTGTGGGAGCTATCATATGAAAAAAGAATGTAGCCTAGTCATACAAAGTACTGTGCTTGAAGATTACCTGCAGGAGTAGTTACTCGATCACCAGGCCCCATGGCATGGCTAGAACTTCCAGTAATAGACAATTTCCCATGAAGCTCCTGTGGGAATGCCAAATTATTCCCTGCACCTGTTTCATTTTCTCCACTGTGCATGTTACCATCATTAAACATTTTTGCAGCAGATTTAGGCAAGAATGCAGTCGACCAAGATCCACCATTTGACCCAGCCAAATCCATTATAACATCTGCCTGCATGAAGTTATGATAAAACACAAAACCATACTGCTTATTTTGCATGCATACAAGTTTCAGATATGTGAAATGACCCAACAGAGTGAAAAGTAAAAGATAGTCTATGATTTAGGAGGCTTTGAAGGCCAAGCCAACCTACGTGCTTTTGAAAACTTGCGCAAGCATCATATAGCTTGCTCATACTTAATATTCAAACCTAGCAACTATACAAACTTGACAGCAACCTGGAAAAATAACAGGAGAAACCATGAAAACAGATTTCCAATTTTCCACATAGTGTAAGGTATAATCAGTGCAATGTTGTTAAAACAATTAAAGGCTTTATTGTAGGCCTCTAAAAGCAAACCACGTTAGAATTAAGGCACAACATATCCTCAATATCTTGATTAGGCGGCACACAGGCCGGACAAACCAAATCAACCCAGCTTATTCCAATTTAAAAATGCGGGCTTGAATCAACAGGTCACATTGTGTTGTGTGTGTGTCACCCGCCCAATCTCAATTCATCAAATCCCGTGTGATGAACCTATTCTAACTTTTGGTTCTCCAACATGTATCACAACAATACATTCATTGCAAAAAAATAACCAACAGTTCAGAAATGATAAGCAGTGTCAAGCAAGACATTCATCAATTCAAAGGACTTCCAGCAGATGTCTCTTTGTGGATGTGTCTATCCTTTTGAATTGAAGTATCTCGTAAAACTAGTTCTAAATCAAGGGTGTACACCTACATGACAGATGCTAGCAATAAAATCTCTATCATTGGTTAAATTTTACTAAAAATCACAAAATTTTATCGAACTAACTTCCTATGCAATGAGCTTCATTCATAATTTTGTAATTTCCAATCAATTCTAACTAACAACAGAAAGTAAGAAGTACGTGTATTAAGTGAGTTACTCACTTACAATAACAATAACTAGTTTTAAACCAAGAAGTCAGCAATCACATAAATATTAATAACAACATATCTGCAAATAAAGAGAGATTTATAGGATGCAAACCAATAGTAAATGACCCAGATCAATTTAGATCACACATCTTTTTTTAAGTGACCTTGCCCATTTTGGCAGGCTTTTTCTGACGGGATCCATTTTTACCGTCATAACAGTAATGGTGCATAACCAAGGAAGAAGATTCCTTCGATAGAATGATCATCAGTAGAACTTTCCTAGCAAGCATATGTGTACCAACTGACAAGAACTAGGACTTCTCCAAACTCATCAAGATACTATCCTTAATTTAAATGGATTAAGTTACGGAAGGAAAATGGGAATATTAGTTGCAGTGTATTGGATATCTTACAAAAGACAAAATCAGTAATCTCTATTTATTACTGTAAATGGACTCATGTATCCATAGTTTTCAATCTATGAAAGTGGCAGAGCACTTTAGCCATATTAAATGGTTCAGCAGTGTTATTGGCTGCTATCAAGTCTTATACATCAGCAATCATAGGTTTAAAACAAACACCAGATAGTGCAGTGACAAGGTAAATAAGTTTGCAGAAAGTACAATACATGTGTGGTATGGAAATCAACTCTAAATATCAATACATGTTTTTCAGCTAAACCAGAATGATAGTAAAAGTTCTAATAGCACTTAAAATTTAACTGTCATATTATATGGCTTTGAAGAAAATACGGTCTCCATACTCTTACTACCAGTGATTCTCAACTCATCCCAAAAGCTTAAACTATTAACTCTGAAGACAGATGAACGGTTTTACATCACATATCTAACACACACCCCACAAGAGCCCTTTGAGCTAGCATTATGCACAAACCTACCAAGCTTGTGCTGAAAGTCAATTTTTTATTTGAAGAGTGAGGAAAACAAGGATCGGACTATAAACCACTAAATCATAGAGGCTCTAATATCACATCATGAACCAACACTCCCAAAAGGTTAAGCTATTAGGCAAAGTGATGTGAATAGTTTTATATTTACCCTTAAAATAATCACAAATTAAATTTCAGGGCAGAAATGATGATTAACAAATGCAAATAATTTCAGGCCTTACACATCACTAAATGCATTAGTTTTGACAGAGGATTCAAAGGAAAAAGCTAACTCTAAACTTGAACTTTGGAAACAGACATTGGAATAAAAAGGCTTTCACTTGAGAAAGTGTGGGACAGGGTATATGCATTATGACTTTAGCAATAAACAAGAAGAAAATGACTTGGAGATAAAAATTGGAGATGAGTAAATTAAAGTATTTGCTGATCAAACCAATATTGCAAAATGTTGGGCAAGCTAATGAAGATATTCTTAAGAATTTGGTTTTTAAATGAACCAATGGTATCGTGTAATCTATGTAGTGATTTCACCTAGTGGCATAAGAATAAGACTATTGTCACTGTTGTTACACTAAATGCAATATACAAAATATGGCATGATTAACAATCAGAGATCAGACCTTATGAGGATGGACATCATCAAAAACATGAGCTTGGCCTCCATAAAAAATAGTCATCTGGCGGCTGGCAGAAGTTAGCACGTGTTGACTGCTGTCAAGACCAAATTGAAAAGTCAAGGAACTTTTCCCTTGTCAAATGTAAAGGGAGCAAAAAATATAAAGAACCAAGGGGAATTGAGCAACTGTATTCATAAGCAATTTTTACCTTGGAGGTGTGGATGATTCTATTATATTAGTTCCAGGCTTTGACCTGCTGCCACCAAGCATCACTGCAGATGGAGTTTTCTCAGTGCCTGTACTAGCTGCGTTTATAGAGCTTAAAATTCCAGGGCCCTTGATTCCAGTTCTAGATCCTTCATCAGCAGCTGACTGAGAGATGAATGAAGGGCCAGCATTAATATCCCTAATCTTGCTTGAGGCCATTTGGTGCACAAAAGGTGCCAATTGCCCTCCACGTGGTGGATGCTGCATGGAAGGGCCAACATTCATGAGAATAGATCGTTCCCATTTATTGGCATCAATCTTAGTGCTGCTGGGAGGCTGAAATATCTGTGAAGAAGATGGCTTCATTGACTGCATACCAAGTAACACTTCATCATCATTAGGCCTTCTAGACCTATCGCCTCCAGCTGCATTCCGGAGGACCTGTGTAAAATCAGAACTCAAGATGTCAAACCAAAGAAGACAAAAGCAAAAGTTTTCTTTTTTCCTTTTTGAACATTGAGAACATTGGAGAAGAATAATTAAGCAATAGCTCAAAGCAACCTTCATCAAATGTGAATTTTGAAAGGAATCAGGGACCATTTGGAAGGCATCTCTGGAGGAACCCGTAAAAGCGGAATCAGAATTACTTCTCTTGCTTCCCACTAATCTGTTACTGATCTCAGTACCAGAAAAATCACTCCTCGGGGCATAGAAAGGAACTCCCTCAAGATGATTTCCTACATGTTTCTCTAACAAATTGACGACAGGAAAAACATTACATTTATGATGAAAACCCTTGAAAAATAATAGAAATTTCCATAAGTAATTTGCATTTTCAACTACAATTAAAAAAATGAGTTAGAATGTCCATTTATAGATGAAAAAGCCAAGAAAAGAAAAAAAATCGAAACAATACAATAACAATAATTTCCATAAATACCTAAAACCCCATATCATAATTGTGGCCCAATGCACAGAAGTTGACAGAACGTAACAAAGTTTTCTACTGAACACATCAGAAATTTTCAGCATGAATTCAATTCTCCCACTTAGTACACGAAATTATACTTAAGAAGAGAGAATCCAATAGTCAAATCTAACACCATGCTGAAACCCCCTGACATTAGAGAACATATTCACATACCAGGAAAAAAAATTAAACACACTGGCTTGTAAAATGTTAAAAGACATTACAGAAGAAGAAACAAAAGGTCGAAATGGGGGGGAATTAAGTAAAACCAAGTGAAGTAAACTGACCCAACACTGACCATACCAACCTAATCATCCATCAGAAAGGTACCCCACCAAAAGAAAGAGATGGTAGAGAACATCAGTGAAAGATGAGATTCCATGCTAACAAAAGCAGGGTTTTTAGGCAAAGGGTAATGTCCTAAGTATGCCCCTGAATTTTTTTTATTTAAAATTTTTCACCTTTGATTGCAAAAGCTGAAAAGAGAAAGGACAAAATAACCCTCACCGGAAGCGATGTCGGAGGTGGCAGAGAAAGGGCCACGTCCACCAGCAGAGGAGGCGGAGGCCGACGGTTCCGACAACCTTATATCGGTGGTTTTGGGAGAATCGGCGGCGGGCTTCATGCCCAGAAAGTCATGAAGGACCAAATTCTGGCTAACAGTGTTGTTGGTGTTGCCATTGTGAGGCTGAGCCATTCTCAGCAGCACAGCCATGACATACCCATCTCACCAGCACAGGGAGTGAGTGACTCGAAAGAAGAACTCGAACAAGGAGAAGAAGAAGCAAAAGCAGGATCTCTTAAAAACGAAAGATAAAAAGACAGAGATGGAGAGAGAATCGGTCCTTTTGGGAGAGAGAGAGAGAGAGAGAGGAAAAAAAGCAAAAGGTTCTTTCTTTGATGGCAATTGTTGTTGTGTTAATGTGTTCTGTTCATTTTAATGGGGCATGTCTGTCTCTGTTATGCTGTCCTTCCTCTCTTGGTTGAGAGTGTGGGGGTGTGTGGGGTGGGTATATATGTAATGTTGTTGGTGTTAGTCTCATGATAAACTTGTTGGGACTTTTGTCAGATTTTGTTCTTCCCTTCTTACATTGGAGAGTGAAATAATTAAAGTAATTCATAATCATGCTCCAATTGGAGACATGGATCTCTTTACAATGTGATGTCTTTCCTTCTTCATATATAACTCCACTTTTTATCTTCTTCAATCATCACTTATATATTTTTGTCACCTATTTCTAAATAAATACTCATAAATATATTATTATGATTTAAATTTTATTTTTTATTAAATAATTTATAAAATTAATGAAAATATATTATTACATATTCTGTTTATTTAATATTATTTAATAAAAGTGTTAGTATGTGTATATATTTATACAAGTAAAATATAGATTTATTTTTCAGCGTTCTATAATTACAAATACATGTTTTTTTTTCTAAATGGGAATAAGAAAGGTATAAGACATAAGTGACTGAAAATACCACAAGGAGTGTAAATACTTAACAATTTAATGTTTTATTAAAAATAAATAACATTTCCATAAACCATAAAAATATCATTTCTTCTATTTTTCTTCGTTCGTTATTTTATTTGTGTTTTTATTTTTACTTTCTTTGACAAGAAAATAGAAAAAAAAAATAATGCAATACTTGTTGGTTTTTAATTTTATATATAAATATTTATATCTCCTTATTAAATTAATAGGATAAATAAACCTCCAATAATGTTATTAACATTGAAAAATTGATAATAAATATAAATATTTTTATATTATCATCTAAATTATATATTGTTACACATTATAAAATTGCTAATTTTAATAATATTTTGTAATTTAAAAAAATTAAACTGGTCGGTCAGTAAATCAGTTAAATAATGATTAAAAAAATATAAAATCAGTTTAAAAAACACTGCTAAAAAATTCAAAAACTAATCAAAATCGATTTAATGCATCATGTTTAGTTTTTTCTTAAAAAATATTTATCATTTTTTATTTTATATAAACTTATTATTAATAATAAATTTTTATATTTAAATATAAATATAATAATATATTTTATTTAAATTTTGTACATGTATTTTAAATATTGAAACTGATGCATTGATGTTTTATTTTAGTTTTCAATACCATAAAATGATGATATTATAATTTAAATTATTATAATTATTTGATTAATCTCAGTTAAATCCAAACTCAATCACGATTAAATCACTAAAATAAATTTTGAATGAGTATATTAACCAATTTAATAATTTGAAAATCAACACAATTTTAAATTTCATAGATACAATCAACCCGACGGTGTTATTAGGCAAACATTTATCACGTAAAACAGCATTATTATAATAAAATTTGAGAATTTAAGTATGATATGAGTTTGAAATCTCATATTTAATAAAAATAAATAAGAATGAATAATATACGAGCGTGAAAAAATTATAATCTTATTTTTTAAGATTTTAGATTAAAAATCATGTTATACTTTTTTTATTATTGACTCGTGTTTCATTATATTTTAATTTAAAAATTACATAAATTCTTATTTTTAGTATGTCAAATTACTCTTTAATTTGTTACTATAAATTATTTGTTTTGAAAGCAAAGTATATAGAAAGGAAGATATTATCATAGCATGCTTCGCAATCAATAATAATATCTATTTAATATTTTTCACACTAAATATTGAAACGTGTCACTACAAAGTCAACACTAAACATCACTGTGTTAACCTCCACAAATATTTATTACGATGATGGTGTGTGGTGTTGAATACTACGTTGTAGTGCCACGTGTTCCAATAACTGAGAAGGACACCTCGTAAATATCCAACCTCTACTCATTATTTTTCCTCTTTCCTCCCAAACTTCAAACAAATTTTTGTCATTCTTTGTTTTCTGCGTCATCCCATTCGCTTGGATAACTTTCACTATTTAAATAACTGTTTAGTTTTGGGAGAGATATGTGTAAACTGAAATTTTATATGAAATAAAAATATAAAAAATTTAATAATTTATAAATAAGAAAAAATTATAATTTAATATTTTTATATTTATCTCTTTCGATATATTCAATCGATATAAAGATAAGTGAAAAATAATTATTTGTTGAAATTTACGTCTAAAAATAAATAAATTAAATTTTGTTATTATTGTTATATCTCTTACAAACTTGTGTGGTTAATTAGTTAAATTTAATTCACAATCTGATTAATAAATTTGAACAAAAAGGTTGAAAGCTTAGGCAGTATCCCTTAAACAAAACAATACATACGAAGGTAATTTTTCTCTAACGTTAATCAAAATATTAAGACACAATAAATAACAGAGAATATGCCTTAATATTAAGTAAAAGCGAGCTAATTCTCTATTGTTTATGATATATATTTTTCATTGCACTTACCAAGGCCTAAGATTGATATATAATATGAAGAAATGATTTAAACAATAATAAAGCAAATGTTGAAAAATTAATAATTAATTATTATGTGTTTAGTTCATTTTCGATTCTTTGAAATTAAAATATTTAAATTTTAAAATTGAGATAATATGATTTTTTGAATTTTAAGTATCAATGTTTAGTGATTGAAATATTTGGTCACTAAAAAATTAATCTAAATAGCAATATTTTCGATGTTAAATATTTTGTTTCAAGTATAATAGTGACTGACAGCTTTAGTCGCTAAAAAGTTAGCAATAAACTATTAACATATTAGGGATTGATATTTTATATTTAAAATTTTATATTGTTGAATTAGTAACGAATATTATCATTACTATATTTTTTTTAATGAATTAAAGATTGGAAACTTTAATCTCTAACAAATTAACTATTGTCACTAATATTTTGCTTTGAGGACTTAAAAAAAAAATAGATGTCAAATAATCAGTGCCCAATGTTATTTTGTTTTAAATATATTAAAGACTAAAACATTTTCTTTACTAATACAATTTTTAAAATATTTTAGTGATTGAATGTTTTTGTTATTAAAATAAACGATTAATATTATTATCATTAATGTTTGTGTTTTCGTAAAACAATTATGATGACTAAAAGCTAACTTTTTTTTAAATGATTTAAGGATTGAAATTTTTCCGTTGCTAAAATTAAAGACTAAAGCTTTTGTTACAAACAATATTTTGTTTCATGGGATTTGTGGTTGCTAAATAATTTGTGACCAACTTTTTGTATTTAAGATATTGAAATATTTTCTGTCGCCGACTTTTTTTTATTTTTTAAACATGTTAGTGATTGAGAGTTTTGGGCCAAAAAATAGTAGCCAAATTTATCATTGTTTATGCTTTTGTTTTAAACTTAAGTGATTTCTTATGGTCACTAAAAAGTTAGTGACCAATATTTCTTTTTTCAACAACTTATTTCTAAACATATTTTGAAATTTTTGGTCACTAAGATATTTTAATGGTTAACATTTTTTTTAAAGTTATTTAGAGACTACAAATTTTATCACTATAAAATGACAAAATATCACTAAATCACTACTACAGAATGATCATTCAACGTCGGGTGTGGAAGGCATTCAACGTCGGTTCCAATGACGTCGTTGAATGTCAAAGGATTCTACGTCGGTTCAGAATACCCGACGTTGAAAGTGTTATATATTTACGTCGGTTAACCAAATGTCCGTCGTAGAAATTAGTAAATTCTATATCGGTTATTGAACTAACCGACGTTGAAAGTTATATATACAACGTCGGTTATTGCATTAACCGACGTTGTAACGAATATACTACGTCGTTTAATGCCATAACCGACGTTGTATATTCGTTACAACGTCGGTTAATGCAACAACCGACGTAGAATATCCCTTTTTTTCTAAATGTTGGTCTGCTTTTAGTGCCACCAACAGATACTACGACTCGCTATAATCTCGAGTCCAGACAGTATATTTATTTCAGCTAATCACTATATATAAAATGATAGATATATATGTCAAAATCAGCCAAATTATGTACAAAATACACAAAAAATTATCAATCAATCCTATTCCTAACTACTTGTACAAACTTTTTTTTCCCATTTGTTTCTAACCATGTCTATAGTATCCATAGGCAAAGGTTATATATCTTTAAATGTCTGTAAGAAGTTCACAATAATAGAATGGTAAACCCTAAGCAATAAAAATAAAGGAATTGAATATAATAGCAAATGTCAACTTACCTCATTCCAACTATCCTGAATGCTACCCAAAATGATGAGCCACATCCAATACATTACATAGTAGCCGCACTCGTATCCTCCATTTTGTTTGTTACACTAAAAATGACTAAATATGTTAAAAATAACTATTAAATTTGAACATAAATTAATAGATAGTATAATATATATAAAGGTTACTTACTTTGATAAAATTCCAATTTGGAGTTGTGCTTTTACTTGTGTGTTTTCCACCTAATGTACTACAAACCTTTAGAGCACTATATATTGAAAAGAAGGGGGTTAGAAATAGAATAATCAAGATGTTTAGACATAATATAAGAAATACTTACTCGTTTACAATATTTTTTAGCTCCATGTCAGGTTTCTTTCCCAATGAGCAGAACCAACACACAAGATTCTGCTTTGGACAAATAACTAATAGCTGCCAGGTGGTTTACGTATATACACATGATTAGAATCTATTAAAAAAACTTGTGTAAAACCGGAAGAGACTGGGATAACTTACGAATGATGGTATGCTCCAAGGTAAATA